AAAGCTTAAAGATTTCTGTATTTTCCTTTTCCAAAGCTTAAAGATTTCTGTATTTTCCTTTTCCAAAGCTTAAAGATTTCTGTATTTTCCTTTTCCAAAGCTTAAAGATTTCTGTATTTTCCTTTTTCCAAAGCTTAAAGATGTAGTATTTTCCTTTTTCCAAAGCTTAAAGATGTAGTATTTTCCTTTTTCCAAAGCTTAAAGATGTAGTATTTTCCTTTTTCCAAAGCTTAAAGATGCAGTATCATCAATCACTTATGACAGGAATGCCCGAGTGGTCATACTCAAAAGTGATGTACCTGGAGTATTTTCAGCAGGTAAAATAATTAGCATGATTGCTTTTCTTGACCTCATTGGCCAGTTACTATAATAACCAGTGAACAGCAAGAATTCTGGGGTAGTTGGAAATCCTCTTTAATAGAAAAAACCCCAATTGTTTTCCTTTGAAGCTGTTCAAAATGACAGAAAAACATGATATAAAGGTAACTGATATCGGTGGATTTACACCTTGCCTTGCCTAGGATTACTCTTAAACTGCAGAATATTACTCCAACATCCTGCCCTTTGGCTGTGCTAGTGTTTGGATGAATTGACAACTTTAGAGTCTTTGTAATTATGTTGTTTTGAAAGTCATAGTACATGTATTTTGTTTGTCAAACGAGAGAGATAATGCCTTTGGCTTGAAATGACAGCACAGGGTTGAGTTTTGAAAGTATCATTAAGAAGACTCCATGAAAGAAGCCTCAGGAGTAAGCTTTGGTTTTCTTGTCTAGGTGCAGGCTAGCGCCCTCAATTGTGCTTTAACCTGATTCATGTAGGATTGCTCACAGAAACAATGTGGGAAAGTCATTCATCCAACTTTTTAGGGAATGCATGGATACATACATGTAGGTTTGGGTACAATTCAGTTGACTTTTTCTGTGATAAATACTGTACCAACCAATCTTGCGACCGTCAGGGGCTGACTTGAAGGAGCGTGCCAAGATGAAGCCCAGCGAAGTCGGGCCGTTTGTCAGCAATGCACGCAAGCTGATCACGGACATCGGAGAGATGCCCATGCCTGTCATCGCAGCCCTGGATGGGGTGGCACTAGGCGGAGGCCTGGAGCTCGCCTTGTCATGTGATATGAGGTTAGCAGGTGGGTTACATGCACCATCGCCGAGAGTCCAGGGGCTCAAATCCAGCTGCCGGCACTATGTTGTGGCCTTAGGCAAGGCTCCTCAACCCATCACCTCTCTCCACCCACAAGTTTATATCAGTACTTGTGTTAGCTAGGGATCAACTTGTGATGCGTTACTAAGGGAAATCAAAATATTCTCAATCTTTTCATGCTAAGGGAGCTGGGAGGTAAACAGGATTCTGATGGGCCAAATTGTTTTGTGACTGACTTGACTTACCTTCACTGTCTCCGATCAGTGAGCCAGTTACCCCCACAGGGGTCTAGCAGGGGTTACCTTTTGTTCCCCAAAGGGATACAAAAATGGTGGGGTAAATTTAGATACATCGCTTCATGTTAGTTGAGATGCTGTTCCATTAATGTCTGTTACAAAAGGATTGCTACTCTGTAATTTCAGACAGTTCACAGACTTCATGTTGAAGTATTGCACATGTGACTTTGTCGAGTTGATTTATTTAAAAATATGAGAGGAACCAAAATGTTTCCAAATTGTCATTTTTTAACATAAAAGCTGTGTGCAGAGAATTGCATGTGTGAGTTGGTTTTTTTTATCATTTTTCGTTCCATTTTCACGTATAGGTCTCTCAAATAGGAAGTGACAGTGTTGTATTCGAGTCCACAAGTCCTTTCACATGACCCCATGCAAGGCTAGTCGTAAGTAACAGGGTGAACAATAACGAAAGAATGTTTTTGGCACGGTGCATTTGAATAGCTTGTGCATGGGCTTAAGACTGAATGACTCGTGATGGACTTGTGATGGACTTGAATACAACACTGCTAGGTGAGGTCAAGTCATAAACCCTCCCTCTGTGGACATTTTGTAGTTTGTTCTCTCGTGAAGTGATAATAAACATGAAAACTCCATCAATTTCCCTTTGCATGTTTCAGCAAACACAGCCAAGATGGGTCTTGTAGAGACACGCCTTGCCATCATTCCTGGAGGAGGTAAGGCATCTCTTGTAGACTAGTAAGAGTCCGATATTTTGTATCAATTGTTTCCTTTTCAGGACTGCTTCATTTTGTGAAATAACAGAATTTCTCTTCCTGTGTACGCCTTAACTGTCTGGAAAATCTTTGGTCAACTGTCACAATATAGAATATATTTCAGCTTGCTTCAATATCTTCATATTTTTTTGAAATTCAGGTAAACTTGCACTTGTGTGGATTTCATGATGAAGTGGCATTGGTTTAGTGATAGTTTGTTAAATTGTTCCCCGACATCTTCCTGGCTGAGGTTTGAATCCAGCCAAGGCTAATGTTTGGATTTGGATTTCCTATCGGTACCTGATTACCTTGGTTTTCTGTAGAATTTATCTGAGGATTTCTTCTCACACAAATGAATGAAACTTCCTTGTCCTCTTCTCATGTTTTCTGTGGGCTGTTGATCTCATTAACGAGGGCAGTTTCAAGAAAACATGAGCCTCCATTCATTTTGATGTCTCTCCTTTTTGGGGGGGAATAAGGTGGAACCCAGCGTCTTCCTCGTCTCGTCAACCCGGCCATTGCCAAGGAGCTGATCTTCACGGCTCGCGTGTTTGACGGGGCAGAGGCAGAGCGACTGGGCGTGGTCAATCGGGCGGTGGAGCAGAACGAGCAGGGAGACGCCGCCTATATGGCGGCATTGGATTTGGCCAAGGAGATCACACCACAAGGCCCCATAGCTATCAAAATGGCTAAAGCTGCAATTAACAGGGGTTTGGAGGTGCGTACATTGATCACGAGTCCTTTTCAATCAATCAGAAGCAGAGCTAAATTTATGGTCCTGCTGAGTGCATGATTTTATGCCAAGAGAGGCTTCACGTATTTCATGGACACTTTAAACAGTAGGTACAGGAAAAGGCATGGCAGGAAAAGGTTAGAAATAAGTGACTTTCCTTGCTCCTTTTTTCTATCATGTTGATGCTTGTCCCCTTTTGTTTTCCTTTGCAGGTGGATTTGACATCAGGAATGGAGTTTGAGAGGACTTACTATGCCCAGGTAAGGTCCCACCTTGGCTAGCAAGTCCATATTTTTAACCATAGCTTAATCAAGGCAGGTTCTTGTCTTAGCAGGATTCACCATATTGAAGGCTTTGAATGTGTGTGTGTCTGTTGCAGGTTATTCCAACCAAAGACAGAATCGAAGGCTTGACAGCATTCAAGGAAAAGCGGACTCCCAACTACACAGGCGAATAAAATGCGACAAACCTGGGAAAAGCTGATACTCTGCCATGTGATATGATCATATTTTTCCACAACACAACATTTTGGGCAACATTTCTTTAGAAAGATTCCCTCTGGCATTTTCAGGAGTGTTCAGAAGTTTACTCTCCAGGACTAGATTGAAGAAATATGGAAACCTGATACGATTTTATTTCACGAAGGCAATAAACCACTTCTTGCTGAAAACTCTTGTTCTTTGCTGCTCTTGTTGGCTCTTTGTGTTTAGCAAAGAGATTCATAAGACTTGATGATAACAAAAAAAGGGTTCATAATCCATGCAGAACTGTCATTTCCCTGTTCAAATCCTGTTTGTGCTTTACATCAATCATTATAGGCGGTCAGATTAATGTATGCATCCTTAGAGACCAGAGAAGTTATGTACTTTTTTCTGTGAGTGCATGTATAACAGGGATCTTATTTAAATTATGAAAAGTTTTTGCATCGTCACAAGATAGAGTCATTCTTCTTGTAATAAAACATGAGAATAATAAAAGGACAGAATCAGTCCAGAAGTTATTGTAAGGTTTTCTGTAGCACTAGTAGAATTTGTGTTTGTGCGTGAGAGGTTAAAAACAGGAAAGTCCGCACAACGCCAGTACGCCCTTAAAAAGGCAGAAGCACCCCCTCATCTGTTGAAAAAGAGCCATGCTGGTTAAGATTGTTTATTTTTTTTGGTAGCGATGCAACTACATTCCTCAGTCATTTGTCAACCAGCAAAGTGCAGATCCTACCAAAGGAGCCACTGTAGCTTGGAAAAATGTGCCCTCTCTTGGTCACTATCGGGGCTCGTAACCACGAGGAAAAGATCAAGCACAAGAAACACTGAAGATCGAGGTTTGTAGCTTTGTGCAATTTTTTTCCTCGTAAAGATTAGGGAGTTTCTATATAGACACTGATGCCCTTTTTTGTTTGGTAATAATGGCAAGTTTTCCTGACACCGGTGATAAATTTATCGTGCAGTTTCTTGTTCGGAGGAAATGTGGACACAAAATGTCTGTTTTAACACTGAACACGATTTTGCTATTAGAACCCACTGTTTATTTTTAAGTCAAATCAGATTTTTTTCTGTAACAATTAATGAAAGAATTACAAAGGATGGTGAAGAAACTAATATTTAAACGCGGACTACATTTTCTTCGAAGTGCTTAAAACATCACGTTTCCATAGTGTGCTTTGTACAGTTTCTTGTACATGTACACTTGGGCCTGGCAAATTTGAAGTCTTGGTGACCAGATAATTGTGGAACAAGTGAACTTCACAGTTGAATGCAAAGTGTTATTCGCACTGAATAACTTGAGATTTATAATTCTTGGAATGAAAGCCTTGTTGTAATATTCGGACTTTTCCAACATCTGTACTACAATCTTGCTCAATCTACTGACACGAACGCTAATTAATTCTACTGAATTCTCTGAAACTGCTTACGGTTTCAGGTGGTATTTGGAATCTTATAAGTGTAAAACCACAAAATCACCATTTTTTTTATTTGGAAGGATAAACTAATAAGAGAGAATTGTCGGCCAAACAAACTCTGAGCAATGTCGCGGTCCCAAATCCAATCGTTTGTCGTCGGTCGACCATTCACTTCCGTGGCCAGTCACAATAGGGACCAAAGTCTCCATCTACACACTCCACGTCATCAGGGCATGTTGTAAGACCACATGCTTTCTCTGAGAGAAAAAGGAAAAGTAACAAATTATTTTTCATGTTTATATTATGCCATTTCATGTTAAATTATTTGTTATATTTGTGCAGGATTTACAAATTGAAGAATTACCATTACCCATTCAGAGGGTTCACCTTGACTCAAATTAAATAAGTCCCTGTTTGTAAGTTATTTATTTTTCTTTCATAATACATGTAATATGTTCAGAAAGCCGTATCCTCTTTGAGTGATCCCTATTCACCACTTCCCAGATTGTATCATGTTATTGGCATATTATCCCTGGCTACCTGGTGTTCTAGGTTTAATGGCTTTTGGCTAGCGCCCTCAAACAGAGATATTGACAAATGGGAAGAACCACCAAAATAGGGCTGGATAGCTCAGTTGGCATAGAGCACTGATACGGTGTTCCAGAGGTCGCAGGTTCAAATCCCGCTCCAGTCAATTTCTTTGTTCATCTTTATAATTATTTACGTTTATAAGAGAAGTTAATTTTGTGCTTAGATATCAACAAAGTCTGGTAGAAAACAGTGTTGTAGGTCTCGAGACCGTCTCTAGACCTTTTTCTGCGGGTCTCGGACATCAAGGTCTCGGATACAACACTGGTAGAAAGCAAGGGCATCTTACACACCTCTCCGCTCTTCCCGTGCCAACTTGTTACGCAGCTCATACAACAACTCTTGGAGGCTTTCTGTAAATTTCACAAAAAAAGAAAAAAAGTTATATGATGTTCCTTGTCATCAGTGAAATGCATTAATTTAAGAGAAAAAAGGTAAAATTCCAAGACCGGCGGGTAATGGGACGGGAAGATGTCACCAAGTCGGATTCTGACTATAGAGGCAGGATGGGATTTGTTTTTCTTCCTTCTGAACTAACGTCTTTGCTTTCCACCGATTTCCACTGGGGAGAGATGATTCAAGTCAGAAGTTAGCGATGATGGAAAATTTAGAAGACAGAGTCTGAAAGTTGCTGTATGTAGAGCTGCCCTTAGGTGGGCCAGACCCTTGGCACGTGACGTCATCTTTAACTTTCACTACTGCGAATCCAAAATTTTCAAGGCTTAATTTTTTTTTCAATCGTATATTTTTTGTGTGTTTTTTTGTTTGGGGGGGCTGGGGCTAGACAGCCCGCGATTCTTTCATGTTTCGACAGAACCATTTCCTAATGTATCGGTAACGCTCAGGCCAACATTCTCCTGTGCGCAACGTAACTGCGCACAGGTCGACCGCAGTTGACTCCTGCCTGCTAGAAACACGTCTGAGAAGTTGAATTCGGCCTATTGCTTCAAATTATAATTTCTTAGCACTGACTATTCACTAATGACGGCCTTCCAGTGTGTATCTATTCACTCATCGAGTCGGTTTACCACACATTTCAATGAATCCTCACTGCAACTTGCGCAAGACCATGAGGCGCACTGAAATCGTACGTGTGGATAGACACCTTTTAATTTCTTGTCGACCATCTAGCTCAGTCGCAACTTTGTACTGAAAAGTCAGCCGCCGACTGTTCTATACCATCACCTCGCCTACAGATAACGTTGTTAATATAAATACAATATGCACGGTAATTTCCATACCATCCTTGCTGTCACTGGCACAAACCAAACCGATGCAGATGATCAGAATGAAGATGCAGATGTAAGTCTTCATCTTTAAAGAACTGTGTTTTTAAAAGAAAACAACCACGATTCGGAAATTTCGAACCTTTCATACGTTTTATTTTAAAGGTTAGACTTTTCCAGAAAGACTTTGCAAATATTCTGCATGAATAAAATAAGGGTTATTTCATTCAGTTCCTACAGCCTCATCGCCTGAAGCTTATGCACAGCATTTATAGAGTACCGAAGTGTGACGTCACTGTGAACCAGAAAGTGCAGTGCAAACAAACGGAGTACGCGCGCGCGTTGGTTCACGCGCTGGTTCACGCGCTCATGCCTTTACACACTAAAAGTGCGCGTGACGTAGTCACTTTGGTAGAGCGTACTCGGTTCGCGTGCACTGCACTTTCTGGTTCACAGTGACGTCACACTTCGGTACTTTATACCTGCTGGCTGATTCAGTTAGCAGCGCAGCAGACGTGAAACTGATGCATTATCGAAGGCAGCAGCGTAGAATGTTTATTTTTATTCAATGATCTAACAAACCGTCTGTTTCCTTGCTCTATAAGACCCCCAAATCAAACATCACTGAAAAATTGCTTTCACATTACACTATATAGGTAAATTTTGCGGGATACTATCTAATAGAAAGTATGTGCTTGGTAAGGCCAACGACAATGTTTACCCATTTTTACTTTCAGGCGAATCATAGCAGTTTTGAATCAGCATGTCAGCGTGCCTTGTCACAAATACTTGACCTTCCACGGCAACGAGAGTTACAGTCCTCCATTAGGTTTTCCAAACTAAACTGCACAACAAAATTCCGTGTTAAGGCCAACAATAAGATTTACATGTCAAGTGAAGCGACCCGGCTTTGAATAGTTACGCCTTTTGGTTAATGGTGTCATTTTTCACAAAACCTGCCCTTGCAGTGGTCGTGTGAGGTTGGTGTCCGATCCATACAATCATGGCTGTAATACATAATGATGCGTCCGCGTATCCAGGACATTTTCATACATGCTGTATGCACAACAAATGTTGTGGAAAGTCCAACATCGCTTCTCTACAGCAGTGAATTGGGACAGCTTTGAATCGGTTACTGCATTGCTATGGCCGGTTCGTACTTCATACGAAAGCGAAAACGAACGCAACTTTGTGACGTCAGATCAAAATTTGCGTTGCAAAAACGTTGAACCCATTTCAACTCAGGGAAGTTTTGCTGCAACTATTTCGTGACGCCAAATTCATTTCGCTTTCGCGATTCTCTTGAAGTACAAGCCGGCTTTTCGTGTCCCTTTTTCCCACAAAAGCTGCCCTTTCGATGAGCGACTGGATTTGGAGATCAATCCGTACACGTGATACTACATGGTGAAAAGCGATGTGCACGACATTTTCAAAATAAGCTCACAGCCGTGGGCAGCTTCCCCCCCCCACCATCCCGTGCCTGGTTTTTTTTTTTATTCCCCTGATCATGTTAAGCGGGAAAGTGGATACTGCGCGAGAACAGTACATTCGATTTTCACAAAATTCGAGTAATAACAATTGCAAAAAGTTACTTAATAAAAAAATACAAAAGGCCCAGCTTGTGAAAAAATACACTGCAGCGATGCGGCAATATCGGAAAAGGTGAAAGGGCGGATTCCGCCCCCGCTGCTTTAAGGAGCATTCTTAACAGGCTAATATCAGTAACGAACTACACAACAGATCACGTTCAGCTCATTCAACACATGTTATTTAGCTCCAGTTATAGGTTCGTGCATCATACCCGTGACGTCATCGAATTAATGTTGGTCAGTCACCTCTTGTTTATTATTGAAACAAATATGAAATCTATACTTGCTTTCCTCTAGCTCTTATAGCTGGGTGACCCACTCAGTGGAATCCACTGGGCCCTGAACACAAACAGGTTTAGGCATTCAAACCTTTACAGGCTTTATATCTATGGTTCATGGTGCGTCGCCGGTGAAGCCGCAGGGGCATAATTTTTCTGATTTATGATTTTATATGATTAGATGGGAAGATTTTTTCTTCAATACCCCAACAGAATTGGTAAAGAACACCAAAAAATCCAGTTGTGTTCAGAATTATAAAGATGCTTGGAACAACCTTCAGTTTGCTGCTCTTGGGTTTTTAAAACGAAATACATTGCTTTTCTTTTTATATCCTTTTTTTTGAAAGGGTCATCCTCCGTAAGACGGAGAACACCATGACGTGGGTTGTGAAGTTTTCAGGCGGCTACATAGCGGCATTACGCAGATCAACCATTAACACGCCACTCGTACATGTAGTTGCACATGGGATATTAAGCTGAACACAAACCACTTATTGTAATTTACTCAGTGTGATAACCAACTTACTTTTCTTGAGTTCCTGCTTGTTCAAAAAAGTAGACGTGCTCTTCGTTTCCTCAAAAGCTGGTGTATGGCGCAGTGACTCGGCTTGGGGACACACCCGAGATGGCTGGCCGAGGCCGAATTACCTCAACCGTGACGGTAGTAAATAAGCAGGGTCTATTATTGCCGACTGGGGGTGAAGTATGGACCTTGAAAACTAGATGCAATTTTGATTAAAATAATGGTGCCAATTGAACCAGTTTACATAAAATCAATACCACGTTGGTGGTGTAGATGGACTGTTCTAGATGGGGGGAGGGCGGGAGCAGAGGGAACGGAAGCAGAGGGGGCAAGAGTTCCAACAGGGTTGAAATAGTCCCCCCCCCCACTGTCACACTGCCCGGTGACAGAAAGATACCCTCGGTTGTGCGACACAACGATAACTAAAAGTCTCCCTAAAAACCGAAAAGCCCATTCAACATAGTCAAAATAATTGGAGGGGTCATTCTAATAAGAAAAGGTCGCCAATTTCATTGCTGCTTTATATCTTCTCCTTTACGTAAAAGTCGCCATGTACAATGATTTTTCCCCACTTTCTATAGCCCGGATTTAAATTCCGTCCGGGGCAGAAAAAAGCTATAACGATCCAGGGTCGATCCAGGGTTTTACAAAACCAGAATGATGACCGCGTCGTTCAGTGAATTGTTACACATTTTAAAAATCTTGTACATTGAAAGATTTAAAATATCTGTGACGTAACCGTTCTAAGCCTTGCCATTATTCGTCAAGCATGGAAAAAGCTCTTCAACCGACCTTGTTCAAGTTCCATTAAACCACAGAAAAGCAGAACGGCCAGCTATGACCCCGAGAAGATAACAGCTACAGAAGTCTTACAATTTCACAAATACTTTTATGGAAGCGGGTTTTGCCATTACACCGGTGTTATGACTGCATGAGCGGGTCAGACTTAGGTCAGTCGGTGATGAAAAGGACAAGTGATGCCTAACGCAACTATGCGCCAGTTCTTTTGTTACCGCTCAGTACTGCTTGAAAACCCGTTCAATCCAAACAGAATATTAAAAGAGGCTTTAGGTTGATTTATTAAGTTCCTGGATGTCTGCATTCACTTTTGTACCACCATCGAAGGATGGTTAAGTCTCAAAAAACCTATCTGATATAGGGCAAATCCAGATCATTTCAGACAAAAACCTACTTCAAAAAAATTGCTATCCCCATGTCAATGTTGTCTCAAGTTTGCCACAAACGCAGGGCTTAGAATTGATGATGAACGCTTAAAAAAATCTGATTTAAAATTTCATGCAGAGATAGTCTGCAACTCTGTTAATCAGAAATTTCATTTCTTAATTTGTTTCTAGTCAGCTGGAATTTGCTTTGACGTATAAAATTGAAAACGTTAGCAAAGCACTGGTTGAAAAAATTATCTGATAATTTAAAATATCTATGTTACATGACTTGGCATTGTAAATTGCTTTGTATTACAGTCACACTTATTATTAGCTATCCGTAACTAAACCTTGTTTCAGCAAAATTGCATAGAATACACCAAAAGAATAACTCAATTTAATAAATTAGACAACTTGGCAGAGAATTGGTTTTAAATTACTTTATAAAAATTACTTGTTATATAAAATAAATGTATTTATACTACATAACTTAGCATTGTGGATTGCTTGGTAAGGTCAAAATTTTAATTAGCCATCCATAATGGAACTTTGTTTATTGATATTTCATAGAATACATCAACGATACATTAACTGCATAGACAGTATTTCTCAAAATACAACTTTTATGATCAGGTTCAATTATTCATTACAAAATGCATTTTTATATTTGACATGCCAAAAGACAAATCTTTTCATTACTTTGCTGAACTATTGGTTCTGGTAATGACAATGACTTCATATTGCGTGTGTTCTGCATTTTCAGGTAGTCTGTCCAATCAACTAAGCTGAGGCCAAACCTTGTCATAGCCCATTTTGCCCTTTTATGTTGAGTAATGCATGGTCCACTTCAAGAAATTGTGCCTGAAGAAACCACTCAACTGGCTTGTTCTCCTTTCCCCCTCCAAAAAATTGTCAACAACGCCAAGCTCAGAATGGCCACGATGAAGAAGATACTCCCAACACAGATTGGACACAATGTCTAACTTAATGCAAGATGAGAGACCCTGAAAGTGCTACATGTAAATCATATTTTCATCAAACAGTGTGAATGAGGGCCAGCAGCATGCATAAACTCACTGGCCGAGTTTGGGCAGCTTGTTCTCGTATGTTCATGAACAGCTCAATTTGTTCTTCGTGGGTCTGTTGCTCGAACGCCAGGAACGAACAACCAGCTATCGCTGGTAGTTACTGGCAAGCATCATGCAACAGTGGAGACGTCCACATAGGCCTAGCTACGTTCTTGGAGGTGTAATATTTGGATATCTGGTCTGAATTCTTTTCTATTTAAAGAAGAAATTTTTATTTCTATGGAAAATTATTAATGTTAATTATTGCAAAACTGCAAAATCTCCGGCTTTATAAGCCATCTCGCTTTTTTGCAGCCCTCCGAAATCTCATGAGTTTTTCTGTGTGTTCATGTAAAACTCCAACGAGGAGGTAGTGTGTGATCCTGCTCCGAGACTCAGTGTTCTGGGGTCGTGTTCCCACCGTTCAAGTGGAGAACAAGACACCTGTGTTAAGAACTGGCAGCTGTGACACTGTTTGCATTGTACTCTTCAATATTTGCAAATATAGTCTCTTCAGAACAGTTCTTGTTTGGCTCTTCTAAAACCAAGATTTAAAAATAAGCAGAAAAACTGTCATTACTTTGAAGCCAACTCCCCCAAATTAATAGATTTGTGATGCTAAAGCACTTTGACACTCAGGATTCTAATGACTGGTTTTTAGCAAAGACAAGCAGGTCTGAAGCTCTAACCGCTACTATGGAACCTCTGTCTTTTCAATTATCTGTCTCTTACATGTACCTTCAGCAGAATCCTAAGTTGAATGCAGCATGTGGGCTTAGACAAGACATGAACAATCAGCTCTCAAAATAGATTTTTATTGTTTCATGGCAACAATAATAGCCTATTTATAGCATATCTGTATTCCATTGTTTTGATTTGACTTATGTCTCACAGGTACATTATTCTTCAAGAAGTATCAAGAAAGCAAGAACTGCTACATCACTTATCTGACGGAACTGCTGGCATGTGAAAACATATCCTTCCTGGTTGCTGAAAAGACAGATCTTACAAGACATCAGCTCCTCTTACACACGTTCACTCAATGCTGTCCGTCTCAGGGTTAAACCCTTGCGGATATCGCTCAAAAGAGCACTCCTCTCCTCAGATATGGTGGGCAGATCTGACTGGGCTCTGGGAGTGATGACTGCAACAGAGGGTGGCGGAAGAGGAGGGGGCGGAGGCATGGTGGCTGGGGGCGGAGGCATGGTGGCTGGGGGTGGGGGTATGGTGGCTGGGGTGGGGGGAACTTGGGCAGATGTATAACCATCAGATGCCGAGGGCAGAGAACCGTTATTGACCAGTTCCCCAGACAGCACTGTTTCCGCTTCGTTGCTCTTCAGGGATGTTTCGGAAGATTTACGCTTTGACCTGAAGTACCAGTGACACGGACAAAATGGGACTTGAACATCTCACACCACTTTTGCCAGACATACTCAGTTTTAATACAATGAAATGTGAAAAAATGACTTTAAATTCCACACCCTGACAACAACTTCAAACGTCAACAACTTATGGTTTATAAGCAAATAAAATCATTTTCACCCAAGCGAAAGTTTTGAAACCTTTCAAAAAGTACTGATGTGTTTGGAAGGCAAGACCTGTGGGTAGTAGATAGGGTGTTTTCTTTCTGTCTCACCTTGTGTGTCTGGTTGGAGTGCTTCGTCTGATTGTTGGCGTCTTCAGGATGCGTCCTTTCTTGACTGTCTTCAGCAGATTTCTCATGGCAGATGTTAGTCGAATCTGTTCAAATTAGAGTGATAAAAAACCTTAAGATGTGGGTACAAGGGGTGAATGAACAGGGGTATCCACTAAGGAAAAATGATGTCAGCAAATGTACTTGTAATTACTGACTGATTTTTGGTCTATTTGTTTACAACAAAATATCTTTCCTTGTACAAATGATCCAAATAAAGAATTCTTAAGATACCTTTCCGGTAAGTCCTTTGTATTGAAAAATTCCACCTTAAAAGCTGAGTTTTAGAATATTTTTATTAAGTCTTATCTTCTGAGTCTTTTGAAATCTCTATAATAATTCAAAAGGCTAAATGCAGACAGAGTGCCACAGAATCATTCCCAGTGGTAGTGTTTATTAGCTGAAGACAAACATTTGGCCTTCACAAGTTTGATACGAAGGAAGTTGGTAGGAAAAGTAAGCTCCAATTGGCTTCTGAGTTGATTCGTACCTCAGCAGGTGGATTCTTCTCTAGTGCCTTCAGTCTGACGTTTTGGAAAAAATCATGCTCCACAATCTGCAGGAAAGAAAAAGATACAAAGTGTTTTCAATAGAGTGCTCACGACAGAATGAAACCAAGTGGTCATCGTGGTTCTGTTAAACAGAACATTTTCTTTTAAAATGCCTTGCAGTTTCCAGCTATATCATATTTAACTCAAATAGACAAATAAAGGTTTTGAAATAAGAACACACAATGAGTATGTCTATAAACATTGACAGTTTCTAGAATTGGATATTTGAAAATTCCGTTCGATCAAATATTCAAACCTGAAATGATATTCCCACTAAAAGCTGAAAACCCCAATGAATCAAAAGGTGGTCTGTCCCCCAGCTGAAGGAGGTTTGGAGTCAACTGATGTGTGATCCTGAGTGGTCATTTTCGATCCATCATTCGGAAACCAAGCTGACGTGGGTCATTTTGATTTGTCTCCCCCCACTTCACAGTGATCCACAGTGCAGATTTGGTCTGCAGTAAGCTTTGGTAGTTACCGACCGTGAAAGCTGTGGAATCTGCATTCTTCAAGTGCTTATTGGCGTCATTTTTGAGATAATAGCTTAAAAGCCTTTGGGCTGGTTTTGGAATCAAAACCCACAGAATTAAAAGAAGAAAATTGGAAAATAAGACATGTCAGTACTGTGACTCTGTTTATGCCTCTGAGGAAGTCCTGATGTTACATAATTACCTCTCTCAAGCTTGGGTAGTCTCTGTTAGCATCAAATATAAACTCAAGAATCTACAAATACAAGAGTTCACATACCACTTGAGTCAGTAACATTACACAAACCCAACAGTCATGCCCTATCACCCATATGACAAATTATGAATATGTAATTACTTCATGTATGAGATTGTAAGGTCAACACAGAGCATAATGTTGATCATAAGAGTGAAATATTTGGAACACCTTACAGTGTCATTACTTTTTCTTTGACAGAAGTGCAATTGGTTAAACAGAACTGAGTGCAATGATCTGATATGAAGTGGCCGTCCTTCCTCATAGGTTTCTTCTTTGAGGTTAACCCTACATCTTACCTCAACAACTTGCTGGTGTTTCAACTTCTTGAAGTCAGACCTGTCTGGCATGGCGACAGTATCGTCTAAAGCTGTTCCAGAACCCATCTCATACACCAAATGACCTTGGAATAAGGAAAACAATTAGGTAATGTCATCTTCTTTCACAGAGATGAAAAGCTTTCTTCTGGTCAAGTTGTTATCAGTGAAATATCGACTTTGGACTCAGGTTGTTTTGAGAGGAGCAGTCATTTTTCCAATCGCTTTTGTTCTCATGTTCCATGTTGCTTTTACAATGAATATTTTTTTCTTTTTTTTTTTGCTATGGGGTGGGTAGGATGTAATAAGGTGGTGAGATGGGGTAGGGGTGCAGTTGGTTTATGGAGGGTGGGGTAGAGGGGGTGTAACAATGAGAGGGCATAGGGGTATGCTTGACAGGTTTGGTAGAGGTAAGATGGGGTCAGTTGGGGTTCATCATGCAATGAACCAAGGTATTAAAATGGAGAAAAGTATACCGTCCATTCATAGCACAGTGAAACAAAAGGCAGAACTGAAATCAAGATTTCTACACCTAAAATATTTCCTGTCCTGCTGATGTGAGTGGCTTACCAAAGGATAGAGTATCATAAGCCTCAGGGATATCCTTGAGCTTCTTGGAGAGTATTGGATAGAGTCTGGAGGTGTGACCTAGGAGGATGTTCTCATAACCTGACAATCTGAGGATGTAGGACGAAGACAACAATGTCACAACGAGCAGTTATCTCTATTGGAAAAACTATATAGAAGAAGTGACAAGCGGAATCTATTGCACAATTTTGAGGTGAAAATAAATATCATCAATGTTGGGACTGTGTTTGACCAATTTGTGCTGACGGTGGCGTCAACAGAAAACAATTTGTCACAAGCACTATGTCAAACATGTGGCAAGTCCTATGTACTGGGTAGTAAGTACACATTTCCTACGGTTCCCATTGGTTTTGTGCAAAACACAGAAGGTCCAAGAAATCTGCAGAGATGTGACCATGTGACTTGGCCATGTGACATGGCAAGGCTCAACTACTGGTCCATAGGATAAGACAACACTGGACAGGAACAAATATCTCCCTAGAGTAAGCACTTGTGATGTCCGACTTGCATGGTTCTAAAACAAAGTCCTTTAATGAGCCAAAGTTCCCTACATGTAAGTCGGGGTCCCAGAGGAAATTTAGCTGTCGCCTGTAAAAAAAAAACATTAGCCACACTTTAGACTGGTTTAATGGCCTACAGATGAATTCGTCTCATAATTAATTACAGGCTACTTTGAATGATGTGTATTCGTGTTCATATCTCAGATAGTGCAGTTCTTTGGTACAGTACAGTTGAGAGTTATGCTTCAGCAGTTTTTAGGCCGGGCTATTCTTTGTTTGTCCCCCGAAGTTGGCTCGGAGAGGACATAAGAAAGGACACTTCAACCCCCCCCCAAAAAAAAACAATCAGGGGGAAAAAATAAATCCAAGCTGACTGTTTGCACTCACTTGCATGTTCCTCTCTCTAGGACAACATTACCAGCTTGTACGTGGCAGTGCTGGGGAAAGCCTCCATCTTGTAGATAGAGTAGCGCCTAGGAAAAAAAAAAGGGTTGAAAATAAACCCTACCCCCCCACAAACTAAGAGTTTTGCAAAGCTGAAGAGATAATTCCAGTACCAAACATTGTGACTGACATTCGGAGTAGTAACATCGGCTTTGCCAAGTCCTTTCACCAACTGCCATTGGGAGGAATGGTGAATCTTCAAGAGGTACTCACCTCCAGAATTTGCCTGCCAAATAACTGGATTTCCTTCAGTGCTAGCCCATGTCCCTTCATACCATACTTGTTGTCCCAGTCTTGATTGGGTTTTTCCTGGAAGGGGGTCCAGAAAAAGTAAGAATACCCACAAAATGATCAAATAACATTCAGAGCCTCAAGTGAGTGCTGGAAAATTAAAAAAATTTCTTTTTTCCCCTACTTGAACTTTTTTTTAAATAACAAATACTGTATACTGATTAGATGCAATGACCAATCTTAGACTCTGATCAATGTTCCTAATTGTTTTGAGTTGTAAGCTGGCAAACATACGGCCGGCCATTAATAAACAGTAACGTGACTAACATCGGTAGGGTCATTGCTTTAGACAGAGGGTGTCTAGGCATCGTTTGGACCCGTGAACCAATTTAGACACTTTGTTTGTTACACGAGTCCATTTCAAAGCATGAAACCATAGCAACCTTCAGGTCCTGGTTTTCCCTTCAAAGCAATTGTAGATGCCTTGTTTTCAAATGCTGGCTACATGCTTCAGTAGGGTGCTCCTAAAGAGTTGAGAACTTGCTCTCCGAAATGAAGGCAGCATCCAGACAGGCAATTTATCTTACATGATAGATGTAGTCCTTCAATGAGCCCCTTTTGTTGTATCTCTGAATCAACACTTCCAAGTCTTGTTCTTCCAGCAAATCAATGTCTAGAACTGGCCACAAATACGGATGCTGGAAAAACAGGATACCACAGGCAACAAATTATAGGAAGTTCTCAGCAACAAAGTCATGTTGTGGCAGAAAGCAAGCTTGAACAGTGAGTATAGTTAACTAAAGTTTAACCAATGTCACATGGTCCAACTATCTCATTGACTGGAACCAAGCCTTGAAGCATGTTAGCACTGCTTGTACTCAACAGCCCTGATTAGATTGAGGAGAAATGCGAAAACAAAGGAAGGAAAATAACTGCCATGTGATAATGAATTCATAGTCCGTAATGACAACTGTACGTTGCTGTAATGAGGAATCTGGAGAAAAATCTAGGTCTTTATGTTTGGAAAATATCAAATTTATTCTGTTTACATTGCTATAACAATGTGACACATTTCCTTCCAAACTGTGACGGAATCCTTCTTGTGACAACAGGAATCAGAATATTTGTGATCAGTGATAAGTGAATTGGGGAAGTTGAGGGGAGGGGGAGAGATGGCACATGCCCCGCCCCCACCGTTTCACTTTTTGTTAGCAGGGTACCCCTCCATTTTTTCTCAATAAGCAAAACCATGTCCTGTCTGTATGCTCGACATACCTCCTTCCTTATGGGCGGGTCCCTGCTCCCCCCACCCCCATAGACTGGTTTATGGTTTATTACACATCTAAATACTCCAACAGGTGGAAAGCAGCAAAGAACCTGTGCAAGGCCTGGGACCCAGTGGATGATGGATTAATTATCGAATCTCAACCTGACCAATTTAACACTGTATTTTTAAAAGGCATTTGAGTGAAAATTAACTTTAATTTCCTCCACAATTCAGGCTGAATTGAGGTTGAAGCTTTGCAGTATTTAGCATATCCGTCTCTCTAAAAATGAATCTGTATATACATACATAGTAATACTAATTTAACATATGTATAAAGTTAATCGAATTCCTGAAATGTAAAGCAAACTTTAAAGAGAAAATAACATCTTAGAGGCAGCATTTGATTTACCTTGACACATTTTAGAAGTTCTCGCAGGACTTTATGAGTGTTACTGCTGAAAGAGATAGAGCAGTTAGTGGCTTTGTTACAAATGCTTAGTAGGACATCTTTACTTTGTGACGAGTAACGTACAAGAAACCAATGCTTGTCAACACGACTACCTGTAAAAAAACAAAAGACAGAAAAATGACTAGAGTTGAAGTTCGCCTGTTGTCATGGTTGTTGAACTTGTCAGCTGGTCTTTTTTGGGGGATTTTTCATAAAGGACTGGAGACACTTTCTTATATTAACAAGCTTGCAAGTATTTTATAATAAAAAATATAGACAAAGTTTGTCTGAATTTGACAATGTTTTACTTTTTACATTACAACTAATGATTTCAGCTCGCTCATGGAGCTTCAGGTTGAGGGGTGTAAGTTCCCCTCCCACTGCGTACCAGAAAAAAAAAAGCAAAAGGAAAATCAACATCAGATGAACGTTAACCCTTCCAATAGCTAAGCCTGCCTCTTGGACCAAACCAGAATCTGCCCAGGGATGTAACCTACATTGCCTTGACATGTTTTGAGACTTCGACACCATTCATAAAACACTACATGATCTCCTTGTTTTAGGTAATTGTGCAAACAAGGACGGTTATTTTTGCAACGACCATGTAGGAACATTACCGTCCTTTAATCTGCACCAGGGATACACCTACTTGGGAAGAGAGCACACAGCATTTTTCAACTTGAAAGGAATTTGACAAATTGTGGCTGGCTTCCTTTACCCATGTCTGGCAGATGTCCTGAAAAGGTGAATTTCCCTGCATGGGCTCGAAGATAAAACTGGCAATTCAGCAGAGCTGACTCTGCAAGAGAAAGGACAGGTCAGAGGTGATTTTTAAAATGACTAAATCTCCACATTTTACCTCAAAAATTCCAAACTGTTTTTGAATGTCCACCTTTGTGACTTCTGTAGCTTTGGAACTTACCAATATTTCCGAAAACCTCGTGCATGCCACGTTACAGTAATTCTCTATTATTTATTTACATTTCTAAGTCTCATTGACTGAAATCAAGCCTTTTTTTCTTGACAGGTGCGCGTCATGTTTTTCTCCTGTGAGGTATACTGGCATTTTCTTTGTAAAATTCTCTGAATGTAAGTTAACTTCCTTCTGGTAATCCAGGAATGCTAAGGAAAATGGAAGTCTTACTAGGGCCTGAAGAGGGATGCAACGTATCAGATCATTGCATGCCTCATGAAGGTGATGAGACCGTCACTAACGAGACCAGTGACAGGTAACATGATAGAGCACCAGTATGGTGTTACGCAGGTTATAGGTTTAAACCCCACTCCTAAATTCCTTGTTCACTGTTATGTAAGAACTATATTTAGGTTAGGAGATCACAAATCTCAGCGGAATTGCAGGTGCATAAAATTGATGACCTACCTCTTATTGTATCTCTTTCCATTTGTTTCTCTTTCTGTAGCTTGGCTGGCAATGACATGTAGTCACGCAGTGGAGCATAATCATATCTAGAACAGCGTCTATACATGTATATTACCCCAAAAAAGTAAAAAATCAGAAAGCTTTTTGGGGGCACAAACATCGCCTCCATGTTTAACTAAAACCAACCACAAAACACGGTAACAAAATTGATTCAATTTATATCAGCGAAAGAAGTTACACGTAGCATTGCTCCTTTTTGGGGTAACTATTCCTCAGCTCCCTTCTGTAACAGCCACATGTCCCTCAAAAAAAGCTCCATACTGTTATGGTGTCCCTGAACATGTTTTGATAATAATGGAATTTCCAGAACCAACAGAAATATGACAATGCCTAGCTAAGTTTCAACCAATTATACATGTACATTAACATTCCATGGAGTCCTATGAAAAGTTATTGAAAGGAATCCTGCCCTTCTGCTCTGTGACCACAAAAAGGCTGCAAATTACATGTGGCAGGGTAGATTTGGGGGCAGTTACACTAAATTGAGACTTAACAATATGAAGTATGGCTTTCAGTATATGCAACTATATCATTATTCAGATTTGCAACTTAACATATCTAATAACTAATTGGACAGTCCCATTGATAAAACTGGTTTATGTATACATTAGTCCAGTGACACACACATCCTGGTTGTGTGTGCGTGTTCATGCACTATACTGATTGATGTTATCAAGTATCAGACCATAATTCAAAGGTAAGTGTAAAGGTTCCATGGTGTACAAACATTTTAAATAGCTCAGCAGTTTTGACTGGTTAACCATCAGCTAGCTTTTATCAGGAAATCCTTCACTACCTTTATTCCTCTACTTTGGATAAACATCAGTGTTGGTCTGTGGATAAAAACTAACGGTTGAAATTGTGCTGATTCCAACTTCGTGTGGCTTCATCTCAAGAGAATGATTTGTAACCCCTAAAATTTATACCAACAAGACAAGTGGCTAGGTGTGTAGCTGTGTGTATTTATAATAGCCTAGACTTAGATGTGCCTATGGACACTGTATAAAACTGCAGAAATAATTCAAAAGATGAAAGCATGAATTCAGGGCGCAAATTACAGAAAGGCCCTAGAATCTTTGAGAGGTTCTAAAATGATGAAAAAGCAAGGAACATAGACATCAAACAAAACTTGGCCGTTACCACACCCAAATCAATCATGGAGTTAAAACAACACATCTGTATGTTTACTACACTTCATGGTACACGTCAATTAAACTCCAATTCTTAACACAAATCAGACAAACAAAATCAGCAATTCGGTTCCCTGGCAGAAAAATCTCAGGGCCAGTTAATATTTTATAAACCTACCTGTAGCAGAGGACAGCAATTACAATAATCAGAACAATCAACGAGAGGCCAGCGAGTCCAATGATAATAGCGACCTGGAGATGAATGGAAAGGATAGAACAAACATCACCCAAAGACCACAGAGATCAAATAAACTCCCCCTTCCTTTGGATGAGTAACAGCGGCGTAGAATAAGTTGATTCAAGGACACACATGTACGTACGTGCACGTAGAAATACATGTACTCCATTGAAACAAACCAGTTAAGTACTTTTAAAAATCAGCTGCCTTGAATGTTTTATTGTAAATTTATAATTGATACTCTGCTTACTTTATATTCTTAGCTTTCGTTACTCATATTATTTCAATTATTCTTAGTATTTTTATCTATAGATATGTAGTTTTACCAGGTTCCATTTTAATTCTCTTTTTCTCTTGTCTTATGATTGTTCACTGGGACTCTTGGGAGAACAGTTTGTTTTTTTACAAACTGAATGAGTCACCCAGTATAAATAAGAAAAAATAATAACCAGTTAATTGGATGAAAACCTGCATGTACATGAATGTGTAAGAACGTTAACATTGTCACAAGGCCATTTGAAAAATGTTTGTCTTAATGAAGGAATTCATCTCTATTTAGTGCAGTTTTGGTTTCCTATATTCAATGTTCATAGACAAGAAAGAAAGTTGGTTTATTTTAGTCATGACAGGCCATCTATTGAGGGGGTCTGCTTAAATTCTCAGCTTAAGGATGCCAAGTCAAAGGAAGATAGGCAGAAAAAGAATCAAAATGTAATTGTCTTAATTTGTTATTAATGACACAGAGTTTTATTTCACATGAACTTTTTGGGGTTCAAATGTCCAGGCTTGATTACTGTTAAAGTACGATTCAAATCTTTATTCCTGTTAGATTTCTGATAATTCCCACTAATTAATTAATTAACCAGTTCAATTTCTTCATTCCTTCATTCCCCAATGCCAGGCAGGTGTGCGACTGTGGACTCGGCCTTCCAGACAGCACCTGATAAAGAACAGTGTGCGGAGTAGAGAGCATAACCCAGGTGGAAAACATACAGTATGAGTCACCACACAAACAGACAGCCCTTGCACAACACATGTGCTTTACCTGAAACTTTCACGATCAAGATGGTGACATGTAATAATTATTCACTCCAAAATCACTGACCCTGTATTCATCAAGTCGAATCAGATGAAATAAGAGATTGAGAAAGTACGACGACTACAAATTAGCTATTACAATGTAAAAAGTTAGTTTTCGTTGAAAAAGGTTGATCGCAAAATACTCTGTGGTGCCCACACTGGAGGGAAGAGTTTATTCGCCCATCACACTGTCTTTGTGGGCGTTTGTTATACATCGAACATTTCTAAGGGGCTGGGAGACTGTCAATAAAATATGGTGACCCTTAAAACATGTTTCAATACATGTAAATTTCCCTGATGCGAAATGTAAGAATTTTTGTTCGTGCATACAGTGTATATTTCCTATTTTCTAATGTAATAACCTGTACATGTACGCCAACAATGTTTCAGCAAAATGAAAACACTCCAATGTTTCTGTTATTGCTGTGGTTCCATTATGATTGAATTTCGTTTCACCAAAACCTGATCTTTTTGTGCTAAAATCAAACATTTATCATATCAAGCAGAGTCGATGCTAAAGACATGGCCAAGATTTTTGAAAACATTTCCACTCCAGTTTACAACAGATTAATCTTTGACAATGTGCAATGTGAAGTGCGCCAATTAAGAAAGACTTTCATGATCAGTTAACTGCCCTATTCATGCTATTTGATCGATATTATCCTGCAGGAAACCTTTGACTTAACAGTGGTACAATAAGCAGTCACAACAATGAGCAGCTGCATTGCAGTTCTTCTTCTATGTTTTTTTTACCAGGATCATGATACATTTGTTTTCCCCGTTTTTATGACTTTTAATGTTGTATGATGTGTGATCTGCTTGTCGTACGGTATAGTATAACTATAAGTAAGCTTTTTAAATTTATTATGTAGTTAAGTATCAACTACATTGATTTTAGATTTTTTTTTAAATGTTCGTTTTATGTGTGTAAAAATGCCAAAGGAATTTCCCTTTAAATAAAAAAAAAATTCACCATCCACCCAGTCCGAGTAACTTGAAGACTACGCATCGCCTATAATTACATTTGGACCTACTGCCGTGACTGCCGGACCATGTCCTATTATTTTGAAAGAGGCGACGCGGTCCAACGACTCCAAGTTACTGGCCAACAACCTTGGACAAAATGCTTAACAATGACAATAACCGATATCATTACCCAGTAGTTCTCTTCCCAAAAGTTCGCCATTTTCCTTGCTCTAAATAAACGTTTTCAGCAACAAAAGACATTTATTCAGCAGACGTCTACATGGTTCCTCGATATTCGCTTCGTGAATAGTGCCAGTTTACGGTTCATCATGCATGGAGCGCATTCACGTGACATGTAATTCCAGAGGGCGCTATAAACAGCTCTGAGCAGAGTGGTGAGGTCCGTGCATGGGGATTGTTACATGTACATGTACGTTCAGTCTCCTGTGGAATTAATTTCTAATTTAATTAGTTTCTTAATGCCTGTGTTTTCTGAGAATCAGCTTCTGCATACCATCACAGAACCACGAAGAAAAACATAAGGCGCTATTTATGAAAATGCTTCACAGTTAAAGTCATCAGCAGATATTTATGCGTAGATCAAGATTGCTGAAACATAGCGATTTTGAATTAAATGACAGCCGAATGGTGTCGGAAAAGTAAAATTATCCCTGAAGGAATTCTGATATTTCCTTCAGTTCAAATACGAAACACAAATTTAATTATAATATCACACTAACTTTGAGTTAATGAATGCAAATAACGCTTTGTACACAAATTTAATTTTCTGAATATTAACTGGTAGCAATAAGACAGGCGTCGGCCCACGAAGGTCATGCAGTAAATTTTGTGCGACTTTACGGACACAAACTTGACGGTGACCGGAAACTGAAGCTGCAGGTGTAGCAATACCACGCTCATGGACAGTAATGTTGGTACCAGAAGGATGGATCTAAGGTGAAGGGGTTCAAGAACAATACTCCGGTAAGTGCTTTTTGAGGGGCGGAGGATTCCCTTCCCCTAAAGGAGCATTTCTTTTTAATTATAGAGAAAACGGTGATTTTTTTTTTGTTTATTTTATTTCATTTCATTCCCAAGATGTTATATGCACCATTTGCAGGTGTACCTCAAAGGAGCCCCCATTACTAAAGAACTTGAATAGCCCTCTCTATTGGTCACGCTGGAGTCCCAAAATATTTCGTGGGAAAAAAAATGCGAGAAAACCTGACCTACGTTGTCGTTGAGGGCGCAGTTGCGTCCGAAAGAAAACAAGAAGGGTGCACCACTAGAAATAAATTCCCATAGACAGCAGTGATAAATCCCCATAC